ACTATATACGAATGCACTATTATGTAATGATCAATGTTTAATATATATTCATAATAAAATTAGTTTTATTATTATTATTATTATGATTAACTTAATATATAATTATGTATAAAATATTTAAATTAATGCAAGTTAGATATTGTTAGGTTTTATATAGGTTTAAATATTTTAATATAATACCGATAAATTAAGGTAATAGGTCATTTTATATTTAATTTAAATTTATAAAAAATATTTGTTTCAAATTAAGTCTTCAAAGCTTGGTTTGAATATCCAGAATATCAAAAACTATTTTCTATATTATTAATAAAGCAATTTTATAGCAAGATGTGTTTGTAACATTCCTACTTGTTTATTTTATTTATATTTTTTAGCTTCTCGTTTTTGGCATATCTATAACGAATAAATATGTCATCGCTAAATAAACAGATGTGTGTCTTCAAAATAAAATAAAATGTGTTTTCAATCAAATAGGGACTGATATGCTATAATGTAGTATTTGGACATTATCCAGAAAATATAATATATCATATTATACCAAAATAATTTAAAGTAATATTACTTTTGGTTTTAAAAATATCAACTATGAATGTAATTTTGCCATTAGCTATAAATTAAATATTACTCGTATTATATAGAACGTATTAATACAATTGTGTGATAGATAGTCTATAGGAAACCGGCGGCCCATGCAACTATTCCATACGCACATTTTTTTAAAAAATAATGCTGAAATATTTTAATTTCTGTGCAACATGGCCACGAAAAGTTTTAGATTCTGAGTGGGAACCATGAATTTATTGACTTTACAATGATGTGTGTTTATTTTTTTTTTCGTGTCTGTCATTCCCTTATATGACAGTAAAAGGGCTTGGATTTTCTTCAACAGTATCTATTCTGATAGGAATGTGAATCTAGTTGGTACTTTGGGGAGTCAAAAGTAAAATTTTTCCAGTAAATTTCAAAAGCGGCATGAAAAACAAAATAAAAATTAAGGAAAAACGGGAATTTTTACACTAAAATCTGTTTTCGAAAAAATCGATTTTGGTTTTTGGTGCACCTCTTAAACAAATGACCGTAGGTACATGAAATTTTAACTGAATGTTTGTATTAGCATTTTCTATACACGATAACATTTTCCAAATATCGAATCTCTTGTGAATGAAGAATGTAATACGTTAAGTAATTTTGATTTGTTTGATATAAGATTTTTGTATCCCTCCATTGGTTGTTCTTCTACCTCCGAACACTTATCTCAGCTAATGTTATGAGCTGATTATATTTTACTTTAATTTGTAATTTTGTATAGCTAAGCAATATATTATATTATAATATAGTAGTATCTATTACTAGTATTCACTGAGCTATTTTTTTTGTATCATGTTTATATATTATTGTAAAATTGTATTATTAATACATATCATATTGTACTTGAGTCCTTTGGATGTTTACTTTAAAATAAATAAATAATATTTCAGCTATTGTACCATAAATCATAATCGCGTTTAATATTTTGTTTATAATCTAAATTACTATTACCTCTTTTTTTTTTTTTTTTTTTTTTCATGGTATCGAGAACCGGAGGAGGAACTATGGGGCCATTACTTCTCCTCCGGCCCAAATTACTATTACCTACCTATTTCTATATAATTTCCCTGTTTAATTATAAGATTAAAATCCAGAATATAAACACATTTCTTTTAGATTCTGAGCGGAGCAAGGGATCTAGTGGTTTTACAATGGTGTTTATTTTTTTTTTTTTTTTATCCTGTATACAAAATTTCTACCAGAAGGAGTGCTTCAATTTCAGCACAAGGTACCTTATCTTTTAACAAATTGGATCAATATGGTACTTTAAAAAGGTGATTTTTCGATTTTCTCCAGAGTTATTTAATGCCAAGGGAAAAACTACCAACAAATTACGAAAAATCGCTAAAAATGGGATTTTAATTTCTAACGCAATGTTTATCACCATAGCAACGAATAAAAAATAATAATATTAAAATTATTAATTCAACTTACAGGCTATAAATTATAATAAATATAAACATTTAACAATATAAAAAAAACAGATTGACAAACTGTCTCCACTCAGAACCGTTTTTTTTTACACAATGATATTATATCATTGAATTCAAGTTTAGTACAATCCATTATACATTGTTCCATTATACTTGTAGCCTACAGTACAACAGAGACATCCACTTACCAGCTTTTTTTATTTTTATGATTTTTTAAATTTATTTATGTTATTTCATTCTGCGTATGTATAATAGAGGTAGAGCATTAAATTTATTTTTTCCTGTTGTAAAATATCTTTTTTTTAAGTATGAAAACCATGTAGGTAGGTACTTAATAATTTTAGATGACCGAGGTTCACGAACATTTTATCCTCGCTTGTGGCTGCAGTAGTGGCGGATATACGGGGTGATATGGGGGTTAAAAAAAATTGTTTAAAATCCTTACCCGTTTTTTTTTATAAGCATTTAAAGTTCAAAAATTCAAAAAATATGGAAAAATCACGAAAATTAGTAAATTATTTTGAGTTAAGAATTCATAAATATTTTTTTTTAAATCTAAGATTTTAAAATGTAACACAAAGATTCCTTATAAGTTTGTCTACCTTTATCTAAAAAAAATGTCTATAAGAAAGTCAAATTAAGTTTTTATAAGCGTTTGAAATTCAAATTTTTACGACATTGGATATTCACTCGATTTCTCATGTAGCGATTTCTTATTTTGTTGTAATTCAAAAACGAATAACTGTTATTTTGTTGTGATTGTATATATAATATTGTTCGAGGGTACTTAAAACTTCTTAGTTCTTAAGTATACTATTATTTATCTATGATAGTATCACGGTTTGTTGTTGATGTATAACGCGTTATGAGTACCTAATATAGATTATGTGATATGATTAATTTGGAATTTATTATAGGTCAATTTTTTTTTTAATAGGTATACAATAGATAAGTATTTAATATATCTTATACCTAGACTGACATACCGTCTTCGCTCGGAATCGTTTTTCTTATACAATGATATTATATCATTGAATTCAAATTTAATACCATCCATTATACAGTGACCCTGCACTTGTAATCTACTTTACTGAAGAGTGACATCCACTTTTTCGCCCAATTTTTTTATTTTATTTTTCAATTTAATATAGTTATTTGTCTAGCTTTCCTTTGCCTTGATTTTTCGATTGGCATTGTTGTCTGTTCATAGGACAATACAAGACGTACAACCCAATCAAGTCATTGATGCAATGATGCAAATAGGTATAGTCATCAAGAAAATTAAATCTAGTTTTGTAAATTTATTATAGAATAAAGCTTATATAACTTTACATATTATGTACGAACATATTTTATACCCCCCCCCCCACCCATGAGAAAATCTTAGATCCGCCATTGGGCTGCAATGTGCTCAATTTATTTTAAGCAAAATATGATTTAATTGACATATTATATTATACTATTAAGTTAAAGTATTGTTAAGCAGCTATCAATTAAAAATAGTTATCAGATATAATTACAGATATTTCCAATGGTCTCAACTCTTAGTAGCCAGTAAGTATTATTTTTTTTCTACGATTATTTCAACTTAATAATATTATGAGAGTAGAGAGTCAGAGAGATAAAAAATAATATTATACCTATATAACTAGGTAGTAGTGGCGTAGACATGATTTCTGAAAGGGAGGGGATAAAAAAAACGGGAGGGGAAAATTGGAAAATCCTCTCAAAACTTTTTACTAAGGTAATAAAAAGCCAATGGGGGGATCTGTTATAAGGAAGCCAGCGCCAAAGCACTATTAATTGTAATAATAATTAATATGACATATGTATTTACTATTTTGTCAATGAAACATGAACATTAGTGAGCAGCTTCACGCTAGTTGATTTTACGATTTTATATTTACGACTTTCAAAGTTCCATACTTCATTTTTCATCATTTTTAAACTTGCTTATTTATACATATTTTACTCTGTAATAAAATATATTATTATTCACTAGTAATTAAACCTCATATCATTCTATCATTACCTACTTGTACAGTCGATTGTTAATCGCATAAATGAAATAAAAAATAATAAAAGTCTAAAATTTCAAATGTATATAAATATCTTAAAAAATGTCAAAATATTTTTAAAATTTATTATAATTAGAAAATGCTGATAAAATGAGTTGGTAAAATTTTTAAATCTCCACGGGTATTCATTTTTTAATTACAAAGTACTAAGATTTTTTTTTTTTACACCCAAAGTACCGACTAGAACCAATTTCATATAAGAAACCACTCTCAAATGTAAAAAACAAAGTATTTTTGGTGACTTCAATAGAAAAAAAGCGGGTAAGTTGGGTGTCGCTCTGCTGTAGGTCAGTAGATTGAGGGAATTTTACATTTTAACTTCCCAATTTACCAACTAGAATCACTTTCCCATCGGAAAATATACTGACGTTGAAAATCCAAGCATTACTTCGACTATTTATCGTGTACAGTGTACATAGAGATAAATAACAAAATTAAAAATTAAAAAAACCCGCACATCATTGTGAAGTCAAACATTCATCGTTCCGCTCATAATCTCAAAAACATCATTGTAAGATAAGAATCGTAGGTATTATACGATAAGAAACGTGAAAAGTTTTAAAATTTATTTGGGATTGATAATCCCAAAGTTTTAATTCATAATTTTGATCTCATTATGTCTATAAGATCTAAAAACTATAACATAATTATCTGATAACATATTATTATAATTTATAATATCACTCAACATATTGTGAATTGTATGGTCACCCATTTGAACTCCACGTTCTAACGGATTTTACTGAATGGTAAATGTACTTGTATAGTTGTATATTAATAAGGTATATTTTGTACCTATTACTATTAATAAATCGGTTATAATTTGTATTTGGTAATAAAAAAAATACATCAGACCTGTGAGAATTATTGTGTTTGATGTGTCTCATGTAAAGGGGCCAGACTACGCGTCGGCATCTTCGTCCTCGTCCTCTTCGCCGTTTTCGTCGACGGTCGCCTCCTGGTACTGTTGGTACTCGGACACCAGGTCATTCATGTTGGACTCAGCCTCGGTGAACTCCATCTCGTCCATGCCCTCGCCGGTGTACCAATGCAAGAACGCCTTTCGCCGGAACATGGACGTGAACTGTTCAGACACCCTCTTGAACATCTGCTGGATAGCGGTCGTGTTGCCGATGAACGTGGCCGACATCTTTAGGCCCCTGGGTGGTATGTCACAAACGGCCGTCTTAGTGTTGTTTGGTATCCACTCGACGAAGTAGCTGGAGTTCTTCGTCTGCACGTTGAGCATCTGCTCGTCCACCTCCTTCATAGACATGCGGCCGCGGAATATGCTGGCGGCGGTCAGGTATCGGCCGTGTCGGGGGTCACACGCGGCCATCATGTTCTTAGCGTCGAACATCTGCTGGACCAGTTCGGGCACGGTGAGCGCGCGGTATTGTTGCTGCCGCGGGACGTTAACAGCGCGAAGCCGGTGATGAAGAAGTGCAGCCGCGGGAACGGCACCATGTTGACGGCCAGCTTCCGGAGATCAGAGTTGAGCTGTCCGGGAAACCGGAAGCACGTGGTCACGCCGCACATAGCCGCTGACACCAGGTGATTGAGATCGCCATACGTGGGCGTAGTGAGCTTCAGTGTCCGGAAGCAGATATCGTACAGTGCCTCGTTGTCGATGCAAAAAGTCTCGTCGGTGTTCTCCACTAGTTGGTGCACCGACAGCGTAGAATTGTAAGGCTCTACGACCGTGTCGGACACCTGTGAGCAAAAAAAAAAAATACGGCACAGGCCGATTAGTGACTCGATTTGTTTCTTTTTTTTTGGGAGGGGGGGCAGAGAACTTTAATACAATACTCTTTTCCCTAATCAACGCATATAAACTATTAGCAATTCTCATTTCTCAGGTCAGGTAAACATAATCCATTAAAAACACAACATAATACCTATATTAAAATGCTTTTTAATGTTTTAACTCTTTAAATATTATTTGAATAATGAACAATATTCGTTATTTTTCACACGTATTTTCTAGAACTAAGAACTATTTTTCTTAGGTACAACATTTTTCTATAATAGCAAATGTATTATTTTTATTTAAATAATCGTCAAACATTGTCGTACACAACGAAAAAAAAATATAATTTACTTATATCTAAACTTACAAACTATTTTACAAAATGTTTAGCTATATTATATAGGTACTATATAAGGTAGGTACAACATTTTTCTTCTCTGCACGTTATTTATGTTTGTTCAATTATTTTTTTGCATAAATGACTATTTATACAAACACATACATTAATTGTAACTCCTTTTTCAATATTAAATAAAATAAAGACCAATCCCAACTTCCAAGTATAAAGTATAATTATTAAAACACTATTTTTTGTTCATATTTAAAATATCAGTATAAAAACAATATTTAGTATTATATAGTAATATTTAGTAGTATTTTATATATATCTCGGTTGCTTGGTCAAAAAGAGTTAAGGCAGATTTTTCTAAAAATGAGATTTTGATTAATTTTGATTTTACATAATTTTATGGTTTTTTTGGGCCAGACGGTTTAAGTCTCTCATTTTCTTCTTTTAAATTATTTCATTGGTACTTATGAGTTAGTTCAAAACTAATTGACAATTTAGATATTCTAGAGTTAAGTCAACTTGTATTGTTTTGATTAAAATAAAATACCTCAAATACTGTAATACAAATGTATGATGTCATGATAGATCGTTTTAATAAGACAAAATAAAAAATATTTTTAGTCATTTAGATTTAATTCAAAATTGGTAATTGAGGTATTATAATAAAATTATTGAAAAAAATATTAGAAATAATTGGAATTTATATTACAAAATAACATAGTTGTTCCATACTAATTGGCTGCAACTACTGAAAAATTATTTTATTTTCCCAAAATCGATATGATTGTCTATTGGCAATATATTTTAAGAAACTTAAACATTTAGTACTACTGTATACCTACATACTTTACACTGGCGAATAAAATAATAATAACATTTTAATTATAAATAATTAATATTATCATTATAACAAATATAATTATTAGGCAATTTAATATTTGGAACAAACCATACAGTATTTTTTTAATATTATGATTTGATAAATTGAACAAAAAAATAACAACAATTTAATTTTTATAAACACTATATTGGTCAATAGTTATTAATTAGTAATAACCTATTGATATTTATTGTAAATGTAATAGGAACTTTCAAAGTTAATTTTGCTGGTAAATTGATTCATCAAATACAAATACAAGTAAAATAATATAAGCATAATTTAAAATGCAAAGTTTTAAAGGAGTATAATAAAAATTAAATTGTTTGACTGGTTTTATGTTAATGTTTGAATTATTAATATACTATAATATAATATATTGGACTTACATTTTATCTTAGAGATTATATCAAAAAACCTACACACAGCTATAACAGGTATTTAGTATTTTTTTAATATATATTTTGAAAATAGAAATAGTCTTGCTAGAGTCTTGCGCAAGACCAAGACGAAGACTGAGTCTGCAAGACTAAGACCAAGTCCAATATTAAGGTGTATACCCAAGACCAAAATCAAGACTGAGTCTGCAAGACCAAGACCAAAACCAAGATTTTGAAAGTCTTGGTCTTGTTTTGATAATCACTACATAGAACAGCTCGGGAGTAACCCAATTACCAGATAGGTAATATTTGATAGGTAGCCAGGTAGGTACCTATATAAGACAAAACGTATGAATACGTTCATATTGTACATTAATCTGGTTTGTACAACTATACATAATTACAATACATTTTCTTTGTACGTACATACCTTATATTATGATGATTGAATTGTTTAAAATAAATTTGTTTTGTGTCACATTGTGTAATTACCTATTGGTTATTATTAACATTTTTTTTATGATTTTCTTTGAATTATACCTATTGCATATTATTGTGATGTATATTTACAAGCAGCTGGGTCCAGTGAGGATCTAGTATTTTTTATGATGGGGGGTCGCTAAAATTAATGTCTCGTGTTCTGTATACAGTATACACCATCCTGATGGTAAGAATTTTTTTAGTCCTAAAAATGAATGTACCTAATATTCAAAAGGTTCCAATTTTGTGTAGAAATGTTCCGAGCCTAGTTAAAAATACATGTTGTATAGAATATTTGTTTTCTAATTGTAACTTAAATGTATTAATATTTAATAATATAGAGTTAAATTTTTATTGAATCAAAATAACCTGCTCGGTAGGTATACTATTATATTTTAAACTTAAAAATAATTATATTTTAAACTAAACTACAGTACCTACACATTTTAAGAATTAGGTTATTATCTATAGGTATGATAATTTAGTGCACTTTCTTCGGTATAACAAAATAATTTTTATTTTTTAATCAACATATTTTTTAAAACGTTTTAAGCTTAATAGATAATTTTTTTGAATTGAAACATGTATTTAGAATACTATACTGGGCAGTTTTCTGAATTAGCGCACCTACTTATATCTATATAGTTGTACCCATTATAGGTCATAGGTGTGAGGTGTCACTAAATCTCTTTTCCAATGTTCAGTGGGACTGGTGGAACCCATTATCGTCTTGAATAGTTAATAAATAACCGTAAGTACTCAGTAGACAACAAGTTTTTCTATTTAAGTACAACCAAGAAAGTCGTAAAAAAATAATAATAGCTTTAAAAAAACATAAAATTGGAAAATTCATAAAACATTAACAAATTTGCCATGAATATTGTTTTATTTCATAATTAGATTTTATCGAATATAGACGATCAGGATTTACGCTTCTGCATCCTCATCATCGTCATCTCCTTCTCCTTCCTCATCGACCGTCGCGTCCTGGTACTGTTGGTATTCGGATACCAGATCATTCATGTTTGACTCAGCTTCGGTGAACTCCATCTCGTCCATACCCTCGCCGGTGTACCAGTGCAAAAATGCCTTGCGCCGGAACATGGATGTAAATTGTTCAGACACGCGCTTAAACATTTCCTGGATGGCTGTTGTGTTGCCGATGAACGTGGCCGACATCTTAAGGCCCCTCGGTGGTATATCGCACACTGCAGTCTTCGTGTTGTTCGGTATCCATTCGACGAAGTAGCTGGAGTTCTTGGTCTGTACATTTAGCATCTGCTCATCAACCTCTTTCATGGACATACGTCCCCGGAATATGCTAGCTGCCGTCAGGTATCGGCCGTGTCTGGGGTCACACGCTGCCATCATGTTCTTGGCGTCGAACATCTGCTGCACCAATTCCGGGACAGTGAGCGCACGGTACTGTTGGCTCCCACGGGATGTAAGTGGCGCAAAACCAGTTATGAAGAAGTGCAAACGCGGAAACGGTACCATGTTGACGGCCAACTTCCGGAGGTCTGAATTGAGCTGCCCGGGAAACCGGAAACAAGTGGTCACGCCGCACATTGCCGCCGATACCAAGTGATTCAGGTCACCGTACGTAGGAGTGGTGAGCTTTAGCGTCCGGAAGCATATATCATACAGTGCTTCGTTGTCGATGCAAAAAGTCTCGTCGGTGTTCTCCACTAGTTGGTGCACCGACAGCGTAGAATTGTAAGGCTCTACGACCGTGTCGGACACCTGTGAGCAAAAAAAAAAAATACGGCACAGGCCGATTAGTGACTCGATTTGTTTCTTTTTTTTGGGGGGGGGGGGGCAGAGAACTTTAATACAATACTCTTTTCCCTAATCAACGCATATAAACTATTAGCAATTCTCATTTCTCAGGTCAGGTAAACATAATCCATTAAAAACACAACATAATACCTATATTAAAATGCTTTTTAATGTTTTAACTCTTTAAATATTATTTGAATAATGAACAATATTCGTTATTTTTCACACGTATTTTCTAGCACTATTTAAAGTAAAATTAAAATTCAAGCTTTGATCGATCCGACCTGAAAAAAGTTCTCATCATTCAGATAAAAAAAAATTATTGAAATTTGACATATCAAAGAGGCGTGAGAGTTTTTCCAGTGAAGTCATTTTTGTTGATATAATACACCGTATCAACCCACCATAGTAGGTATTGAGTAATGGAAAATATATAACCAAGGTAGCAACTAAAATATAAAATATAATTTTCAAATTTTATAGTATTGCGGGAGATTGGAAAAACCGGCATAGACACCCTTAATATAAATAGTTTCTTACTTTCTTCAATAGTTCTACTTTATAATTTGAATACCCCAATACAATAGTTATTTTTTTAATACAGATTGTGGCTATCAAGTTTGAACAGTAGGCGTATGTTTACAAAATAAAGAAC